TTGCTCTCTGGGAGAGCATGGACTTCTCATTTCAGCAGAAACTATATTTAACAACACTTGGAGTAAAAGGGAGAGTGGGTGGGGAGAAATAGGGACTGCACGTCTGCTGAACCTCCCCGTGGGGTCTGCGCTGTGACCTATTTTACTGTCTCCCCCATCTGTCCCTCCCAGGGGAATGGCAGCTTCCAAGGGATGAGTTATTCTGCAAAGCAATATTTTAATAACATGTTAAAGGACAGCCTAGCAAATCCCTAAAGCCATGTGATATGCTGCCCACTTCCTCGGAGAACTCTTGAAGTCAGCCTCCCTTCATTAGAGGCATCAACTTTTCCTCAGGGACCCGAGTAAACCTCCACAGCAGGTAGCAGTCCTTGGAATCCATCTTTCTCAAAAGTGCTGAGAGACTGGACCAACAGCTGGGGAGCCTGCATGGGACCGACCTAGGCCCTCTGCCTGTGGGTGACAACTGTGCAGCTTCGTCTTTTTGTGGGACCTCTAGCAGCGGCACCAGGACCTGTCCCTGGTTGGGTTTTTGGAACCTATTCCCCATGCTGGGATGCCTCACCCAGCCTTGAGCCTTGATGCAGGGGGAGGAGCTTGGTCCCGCTTCAACTTGATAAGGCAAGCTTTGTTGACTCCCGTGGGAGGCCCACCCCTTTCTGAACAGAGGAGGAGTGGATGTTTCAGGAAGGGGGTTAAGCGGAAGGTGGGGAAAGGGAATAGGAAGAGAGGAAGGAGGGAAAACTGTGGTTGAGATGTAAAATAAATGAAAAACTTTAATAATAAAAAATGCTGGGAGAACACAGCCAATGTGGGGCCCCTCAGAGTGGACAGTAAGGGCTGCCATCTTTCCTCTCCCTGTCTGGTGCATCTGGCATCCCCACGTGTCGCACTTGTACAGAGTCCAAAGTGAAGAAGAAATGCCTACTTCCCACGGTCCCACTTTATGCCTCAGAGGTATGGCAGGTGTTTTCTAGGAAGGAACAGAGTTCAAAAGTGGGGGAAGGCACATTCAGCCCGCCGATTCTCCACTCAGATCTGCAGGGGTGCCCAGGCTGCTCCAAAGACATGCTGCCATTGCCAAACACAAAGGAACCCTGACAACTGCAGAGTACGTGTGGCAGCAGGTACTGTCCAGCACCAGATCCAACCCTGCATAAACCTGGGGCTTAACGGCATATCCAGGAGGGAATTTACCAGCCAGCTCCTCTCAGGGGCTCTGACCTGCCCTGCTCTTTGTCCCATTTCCAGGTGGGATAGACTACTACAGTAGGAAGTAAACAGAGACTGCTTCACAGAACAGACAGGCAGGCAGGCACATGACACAAGCAAATGCAGAATGGGCAACAGCAGCATGTAACAGGTATCTCAAGTCCAGCTCTGGGAAGAGCAGCCGTGGTCCAGGGCCACACCTTTGAGTCTCTGCAGAACTAGGCAGGTTCTGTGAGTGTGTGATACCATGAGCATGTGGCAGCATGATCATGTAAGAAATCAGCCACGTGTGTGGCAGGGAGGCTGGGTTAGCATTAGGAGACAAAAGGATCTGAGGGGGTACAGAGTCACCGATGGCCAAAGCCAAGTGCTTTATGGTGGGAGACAGGGCAAGATCAATCTTATGTTCAAGAGAAGCCTGGAATTTCCATTTAATCTGATGCCATTCAGTTGTTTCACAGTGGTAACTACTTCACTGAAAACAAAGGAGAAAACACCATTGTCTGGCCATATCAGAAACAGAGGAATTAGGAGTATCCACAGACTTTAAGTATCCCATCTGCATGTCCAAACTTAGGCAAGAACACCAGTCTGCCCAGGCTCTCCGCATGCTGGGAGGGACCCTGAGATCAGCCATGCCTCCTCTCTGGCTTCACTTTGCTTTTCCATGTTATAAAATGGTCTCCATATGTAATTACATTGCTATAATCTAACTTTTACGAAACTTTGTGGGGTTGGTATTTTAATGACACCTTCATACAATTCCACCAGTAAAATGAGCAGAGCATGCATCCATTGGGAGCCTAGGTGACGATGAGATAAGACAGGTACGGCATGAGGCCAGTCCATGTAACTGTGGCACTATCTTAGGAAATGCACCCCTGGACATTCACTCACTAGACAGGACCTTTAAGATCAGTGTCTGAAAGAACCAACGCACAGCTGCAGAGGTTTACAAAACAATAATGTTTTGAGGGTTTATTTCTTTAGTTGAGAAATGTATGCATGTGTGCACATGTGTGTGCGCATATATATTTGTGTGTGTCTGGGTGGATGTGTGCATAGTTATCTGTATATCTGTCTGTATGAATGTGTTTGTGTATATATATATGTGTGTGCATACTTGTCTATGTATATACCTTTGTGTGTATATATGTGTATACTTGTCTGTATCTGTGTGTATATAAATGTGCATATACTTATCTGTGTATCTGTGTGTGTGGGAAAGAGTGTATATGTGTACATACTTGTTTGTGTGTCTGTGTGAGTGTGTGTATACTTGTCTGTGTACCTGTGTGTGAGAAATTCTGTGTGTGTCTGTGTATACTTGTCTGTATATCTATATGTATATGTACATGTGTGTATCTTTGCATGTGTGAATGTGTGTATATGTGTATACTTATCTGTGTATCTCTCTGTCTCTCTCTGTCTCTGTCTCTGTCTCTGTCTCTGTCTCCGTCTCTCTCTCTCTCTCTCTCTCTCTCTCTCTCTCTCTCTCTCTCTCTCTCTCTCTCTGTGTGTGTGTGTGTGTGTGTGTGTGTGTGTGTGTGTGTGTGTGTGTGTGTGTCTAACTAGAACTGTCTAGCTAGGAACTTCATCGGAGATGCTCATCTCATGGTCTTCTATGAGCAATACAGACAGCGAACATCATGGGGACCTTTGTTAGTATGGGCAAGACTCGATTGCAGATCACTTCTCTGAACCCCAAAATGAAAACCACCTGCAGCTTTCACCCTGAAATCTTACCTTGCCCACAAAAAAACAGGAGATGTATCTTAATTTGCGATATCAAGGAAAGCCAAAGGGACATAGCTACTTAGTGCTGCCCAGAATCTAGCCCAGTGTTTGGTCAAACTTCCATTCCCCAATCTCCTGCTGAAATTCCCTTTGTTTTTTCAAGCTCACAAAGTTGGCCCCTGTGCTCTGTGTGCTAATTAGGAATAGAAAATTTCTCTCTCAGCACTGATTAACACAAACAGCTGAGCCTGCATTCCATGCTACAGTACAGTTGTCATAATTTAGCAGCTCACAGCCCAGCATGAGGGAACAAACACTGGGCTGGAGTGGCTGGCCTTCTGGAGTCAGCTGGGACCCGGTATCCTCCAAAGGCCATCCCTCTCTCAGATTCCTTGCCATCAGTTCTCTTGGGGTTTGCTTGATAGTTCTCCTTACAACTGAAAATAAAGTCCAAACTGCTGGGGCTCATAGGGAGAGGTTAATTCCCAACACATACCTGGGCTGGGGCTGTCTGTGAAAGATGAACTAGTGTTCTTCATGATGCAATGTAGCCTCCCCAAGTATGGACACTCAGGCCCTGGCACTACTAATAGCTGGATATGGTATCCCAACTCATGTCTTTTAAATAGGGGAAAAGGCATCTTTCAACACACAGTGTTGAAAGACTTATGTCTTTTCACAAAACCATGAGACAACTAGAACCCATCAGCGACCTTCTCAGCTACAACAGAGGACCTTTGCAGGGAAGAAAGTAGCTCTTTGTCTGTCTGGTCAGAAGCTCAACCTGGAAATTTTGGCACATCCCACAGACAGAGTGGCAATCAGCTTGTTTCTGGTTGTAGCATCACTGTGGGAGTGAACCGCCCCAGATGCCTTTCTGCATACCATTTTAAAGAGCATCAGTGGAAGGGAACTCTAATTTTGTCCCAGCAAATTATGCAAACTAAGATGAGGGATTCTCAAATGAGATTCTCAAACCTACCTTGGGGACCCATGTGCTTTTTACTATGGCTGTTCACACCTAGAACTTTCATGAGAAGAGTATATTAGAAACAATAGCATTTCCTTCAACAGTACCTGGAGACCACAAAAACCATAGGGCTTTGTGATCTTGGTCACCTTATTGCAAGGACATAAATGCCCCAGGCAAGAATGACACTTGGAGCAGAGTGACTGGTCTCGGACACTACCTCAAAGCACTGCCCAAATACGCCTGGCCTAACAGTGGTACCAGAGAAGCGGGTGCATGGAGCCAGCAAGCAGAGGCACAATGTGGTGTACGGCAGGGGCAAAGGGACCTGCCATTATCTCAGGGAGCAAAAATGCCAGGACAGGAAGACGGCAACGGCTGTTATCATAACAGACAACCCTGAACTGTCATCTTTTTCTAAGGGCATGACATGCAAACCTCCTCCTCTTTTTATAAATTATTTATCTTTTCACTTTTGAAGGAGATTTTTAAAAAGAGTTAAAAGGATTTGGATTTCATTTAAGATGGTTTATAGTTAAGGTGGAAATCACTAGTCTGTGGTGGTGAGAGTCAGGAGTTCTTCCTTAAGTATAGGGCCCAAGCATAGGAAACATCCACACTGAGTGTTTCAGTTTCAGAACACCTCGGAAACTGGGAGACAATGCATCTTTCCTTTGACCTAGATCTACCAAGCACTGGGACCAGTTTACTGGGTAAAGGCACTGCTGCCAAGCCTGATGACCTGAGCAGGACTGCTGGGACCCGTATATGGTGGAAGGTGAAAAACAATTTCTGCAAGTTGTTCTCTGACTTACACACACACACACACACACACACACACACACACACACACACACACACACTTTAAAAAGGTAATAAAAGTTTTAGACTCAGTCCTGGACAGAGGACCATCAGGGGTGCTCAGGCACACACCTAAAGTCCAGGGCGGAATTTGCACTTCAGGACCACTGCCTGCTCCACAGCACCCAAGACACTGCCCAGAGCTCCTAACTTCCAAAGGAGCAAAGGAAGCAGAGCTCGATGTGATGTCCAGGAGCATCCCCCCATGACAGTTACTCACACAAGGAAGGGCACCAGTTGCACCAGGGTCTCCTTCTTGGGGCTGGCAGCAAATTCAGGCACCATCTGGATGACCTTGTTCATGACGCTGCGTAGGTAACTCTGGAGTTGTTTTCGCCGCTCCTCCACAAACTTGGCATCCTAGGAACACAGGTAGGATATGGGCACTCAGTATGCTCGTGTCATAAGCTCAGAGGCGATCTTGTCCAATACGCACCCATCAGGCAACAACTGTCAGCAGGGCTGGAGTACAGCTGAGTGGTGGAGCACTTGCCTAGCATGTGCAAGGCACGGGTTCCATCCCTGCTGTGCACACCTGGTCTCTGCGGCTTTACATGTTATGGGAAAGATAACTGGGATGCTATGTTTATTAAGCATAGGAAAGGCAGGACCAATAAGTGAGTAAAAGAATGAATGGCTATGTGTGGTAGCTATTTCTTGGTGCCACAATATTCTAAGTGTGGCATCAGAGACCAAGGACAGAACAGTGAACATAATCATTGCAGTGTCTCTGATGGAGTTCATGGCTCACTGGAGGGGCATAAATGAATCTAGGAACCACATAGGTATACATGGTTATTAATCACACCACTATCCTCTGGAGTACATGCTTAATTTGCCTTCACGGGCTTTCAAAATATGAGTCTTTCACTGATTTAAAAAGTTCTATGGGCAAAAAAATTTATCATCTCTTCAAAATGTGGCTAAAACTGTGTGGCACAGCCCAGAAGGCAGGCACAGTGACTGAGTCAGTCACATCACTGGGTGTACACTCAGAGACTCAAAAGCTCCACACTCCTCACACAGCCTTACTCCATCCTGTGTCTGTCTACTGCCCAGACAGTAGCCTGCACACTGTGTTTGGACATGTGTGATGATCTGATACCTCATCTTTATATTCTTAAGGTACTTCTTCTATTGGCACAACTCTGCCTAGGTGGGCTGTATGGGTACCAGTGAAGGGTCCCTCTTTCTGGGCAAAAGACCAGTGGTGGCTCAGTGCAGAGAGGAGAAGGCTGTGGGAGGGCAGGAACTCATGGCCTCACAATTCTGGTGGATCACACGGCAACTGAAGAAGCTGCTGCCTGGAGCAGAGTTCGCCCTCCCCATTGAACCACTGGCGAGCACTCTTCTCTGTTTGCCAATCTCAGCGGGGCTTAGCCATTCTTTGCCCAGTGAGACCATGTATTAGATTGTACCAAGACAAACCTTCTAGTTCTGGCAGACAACTCCCCATGGGCGGGGGTGAACATGAGTGGACACAGATGCCTGGTGACATAAAAATGACATTTTCAGAAGTCCACCCCACATAGGAAAGCAGGCCCTGCCGCACTGGACATGCGTAGATACAGATATTACTGCAGTTTTTCTGAGACTATGGTTTTACGGAGCCTTGTGTGTTTTCTGGCAAGTCTCCTTCAGGAACTGTGTGGGAGGAAGAACCAATCAGCCAGCAGGGCTTCCCCTGGCCACTACAAAGGCAGCAAGCAAGGCTTTCTTGTCCAAGGCCATGCCATGACTTCCCCCAACACAACTCCAGTGCCATGAGTTGGTTGCTCACAACCAGCACTGCCCCTGGCCAGTGGCCGAAACCTCCACAGCTTGGCAGGATCAAAACAAGAAAGGATCTTCCAGGCCAAGCTGGAGCCACTTGGCCTGTGCTCACTGGGTCCTGATGCTGGATTCCGCTCCTTGGTCTCCACACTTAACCCATCATTAAGTGATTAGCTATTCATTCCCGAGGGGGTTGGTGGGCCAGGTAGGCCTACTGGGGCCCACAGGTTGCACAAGAAACCTGTAAGGGCAGCTTGAAAGGCTCTACAGCAACAAGATGAGAAAGGTGCTGTGGACCCTGGAGGGGCTGTGGGCAGTTCTGGGCTTGGACAGGGATGCTCAGCTCTACAGCCACAGATCAGAGGTGGCCCTGTGTGGTGCATGGGTAGTTGTGCTGAGTCACAGCCCAAGGAAGGCAAGTGCCCAAGTGGAGGCCAGAGGATCCCCCCCCCGAAGTCTAGCCTGCCCATGTGTCATCTGAATAACATCCTCTTTCACCCAGGTCCTACAGGCAGTAGTGACTTGGCAGATAGGGGTCTCACCTGGAGGAGCCCCAATTCTTTCCTAGCACCCATTCATAGTGAGAGCCAGTACCTGGGAACCCACACTGTCTCGATTAAAGAAAAGTCAACTGAGCAGCGACCATTGTCTAACTGTTAGAGAGAGAGAGAGAGAGAGAGAGAGAGAGAGAGAGAGAGAGAGAGAGAGAGAGAGAGAGAGAGAGAGAGAGAGAGAGAGAGAGCAGAGGAAAACCTTGGGTGTCATCCCTCCAGAGGTGCTGTCCACCTTATTTTTGAGACAGAATTTCTTACATAGAGCTACCTGAGTAGGCTGGTTAGTTGGCCAGTGAGCCCTAAGAAGTCTCCTGTCTCTGCCTCCCCAGTGAGCACAGCATGCATCACCATGCCAAGTTTGTTTGTTTGTTGCTGTTCTAAGGAAGTGAGCTAAGGGTTTTTTTTTCCTTTTACTTGGCATTTTAATGTTTTAATTGAACTCAGACCTCAACCTTGGACAATAAGCACTTTCCAGAATACACAAATTCCCCAGTGAACAAGTCTTCCCTGTGTCCTATGGTCCCCACAAGCTGCATCCTTAGACGCAGCCAAGGCTGGTGACAGGTCTGGATGGGAAGAACCAGTCCAGGGCTCTAGACTGACTGGCAGCGGAGCAGAGACACTGGTCTTCAAGGAGCAATTTTAGACCCTCAACTCAACACAACCTTAAACTTCAGAAGCAAACCTCCTGGCCTTCTCTCCCTGACAGATGCCTGTATTCAGTTAACAGAAATCGCACTTCCTCCTTGGCTTTAGCAGAAGCCATGGCGTATGCACAGAGGGTTGCCCATCACCTCAGTACCAAGGCAGGCTGTCTAGCTTTTGACCTTGAGCCCTGTACTGCTGCCAACAGGTTTTTTTTCTGGTTCTCAGCCTGAATCTCTATTTGCCCTGTGAACACGGGCACAGGAGAGACAGCTCACTGGCAATGTGCAAAAGTCATGTGGTCCTCTCTGTAAACAGTGATGGTTTTACTTTATTACAAAAAAATGTCAAGTTCTCAGTAACTCTTCATCTAATGAAACCTGAACCATTTCCCACAATTGCTTCATCACTTTGGCTTTTTCACCAGATGGTGTGTGATGCTAAGGATTAAAGCTAGGGCCTCATGCATGCTAAGAAAGTGCTCTACCTCTGAGCTGCACCTCTGGTTCATGCTAATGTAGCTGTAGCTGGGTATGGTGGTGCATTCCTGTAATCCTATCACTTAGGAGGTGGAAGCAAAAGGATCAGGAGTTCAAGGCTAGCCTCAGCTATGCAGCAAGTTTGAGGCATGCCTGTGTTACATGAAACTCTATGTCAGAAACAGGACAACAAAATAAAATAAATAATAAACAAGTATAGCCACTCAACACTTAATTCTTAAATACTTACTATATAATTCTAGAACATTAGGACATGTCCTGTTTAACCAAACACCATTACTACCTCCAACAAAGAGGCTATTCACATATGGTATTTTCAAATAGTGTATCCATAGTGCTGAAGTCCACATTTCCAAAAGAGCCTGCTGCTTCTGGGGCTTTCTTGTCTTCTGATTTTTTTTTGATACAGGTTCACATTTGCATCCCAGGCTGGCCTTAAACTTGTGATCCTCTGCCAGGGTTACAGGTGTGCATCAGCATGCCTGACTGCTCTTTCATTGTGAATCAAGGTGCAAGGCCAGATGTCAGCCAGAGCTGTTCAGCAGCCTGAAGGGGGCAGGGTGGACAGGGAGTATCAGACCTTCTCATGAAGAAGTCAGTCCCTGCCATTTTTACCACAGTCCATGGACAAGGTTTGACCCACAGGCATATTTTACATGAACTGGGCTGTATGTGAAGAGATTAAAGCAGATTTCTTAAAAAAACAAACAAACAGATTCCTGACTTCCCTTTCAAACCCAGCAGCCCCTGTCTTGTCTTCATACCTACTGACCACTCATCAACCTGCCTTCATTGGTGTGCCCCCCATCCCACTGAATGATTCCCACAGATAAAGTCTCGTCTGTCTAGTTCACCCTTCATCACAAGTTCCTCATACAGTGCCAAGGATAAGAGACTTAAAAAAAAAACCCATACTGGTGGAAATAACAAGTAAATGGAGGAAATACATCAGGAGGGCAAGACTGGTGGCCAAAGAGAGCCACATGGAGGGCTCCGTCTACTCGAGAACACACAGACCCCAAGAATGGAATGCTGGAGAAGGCCAGGTGGGTCTAGAAACAAGTCCTTGGTTCTAAGGGCTGCTAGACAGGAGGGCAGAGGACAAAAGACCAGCGTGTCAGTGAGCTGCTCCTTCAGAGCCCGTGTGTCATCCAGGTACCTGGGGTGGTATCACAGGCACATAAAGCCAGCCCTTAAAGGCTCATGAAACTGGTGAATTCTGATTTGGCCCCAGGGTGGCAACCACCTTGCAGATTTGAAGTGATGGGACTGGATGTGAGTCTAGCACTTAACGTGCCAGACACCTCTGGTGGCCACTGAATGAGTTGGTGTTGCCCGTGGTGTCTGTGTCTAAATACCACTGTCAATTATGGGTGGAGATGTTCACGGAGTTAGCAAGGGCACACAGAGCTGTTTTAATGGGAGTATTTAAGTTTCCTCAGAAGTCCATTACGCATAGCTCCTAATGAGGGTGAATGTTGTAAGACAAAGCTTGGATACATGCTTGGGATCCCCCGTCCCACACATCTCAAGGTAGTTCTGGCATGGGTCTTCTCTATAGGGAAGGCTCCACCCTCCAGCAGTGCCTTCCCCCAAGGTCAGAAGTCGCTGCATTTCCCTTGCTCCCTCATGCTCTTGCAAGCACAACATGGCATCTTCTGAGAGCACCAGGAGGTCCAGCCTGCCAGGAGCAGCAGAAGGCCAATCCCTGCCGAGACACAGCAGCTTCACAGTCAGCAGATCCCAAACACATCACTGGCTGAAGAATGTCAGAACCTAGAGAACCTCCCTGAGTTGGCCTCCTGTGCCAGCTCTGGGGCCCACTGTGGTGAACTCTGACACTTAGCTCACTTAGCCATCTCTCCCTCCTAAACACAAAGGAAGCAAA